CCGAGATGTTGACCGACGTACAGCGACACGTGGCATCGTGTCCCACTTGCCAGCTCATGAAGTCATCACGGAAGCGGCCGGCAGGACAGTTGCAGCCGATACCGCCCCCAGAGCGTGCGTGGCAGCAGGTGACGATGGACTTCGTCACGGGGTTACCGGCCGGAGCGAGTGGGAACGACGCGATCATGGTCGTCGTCGATCGACTGACGAAAATGGCGCACTTCGCAGCCTGCAAGAAATCGATCACAGCCGAAGAAACAGCCCGCCTCTTCATCGCCACCGTCGTACGACTGCACGGGATACCAGCAGCAATCATCAGCAACCGAGATACGAAATTCACCAGCAACTTTTGGCGGAACCTATGGCAGCAGTTTGGCACGCGACTACAGTTCAGCTCTTCGTACCACCTGAAACTGACGGACAGACAGAACGGACCAATCAGACCATGGAGCAACTCATCCGAGCCACGTGCGACGACCCGACCACCTGGGAACAGCAACTGCCACTCATCGAATTCGCATACAACAATTCGCCCTCCGCGACAACCCAACAGTCACCATTTTACTTGAACTACGGACAAGACCCCACAGTACCCATGACCCCGAATCCCGACAATCCCGTCCCACGCGCACAACAGTTCGCAGAAATATCACAAGCAGCCCGGACCCGAGCAGCAGAAGCCATAAAAAAATCAAACGTCATCGCTAAGCGTAACGCCGACCGACACCGCCGCCCCGTCACTTACCAGCCCGACGACCTGGTATTGCTCGACATCCAAAACCTCCGCCTACCCATCACCCCAAAACTCCGCCCCCGATATTGCGGGCCATTTCGCATCAGCCACATGATCACACCCGTCACCGCCCACCTCCTCCTCCCTGCTGACTGGTACGTCAGCCCGTCATTCCATGTCAGCCTGCTTCGCCCATACGTGCCATCCACCAGCCAACTGCCTCGCAACCGCCCCGCCAGCATGACACGACCACCGATGGAGCCAATCATCACGCCTGAAAAAATCCTGAGCCATCGAGTACGTGACCCACGGGGAGCCCGCAGAATCGAATTCCTGATCCGCTGGAAAGATCGCACGCCCACAGAGGATAACTGGGTCCCCCTGGATAGACTTGAGAATCACCCTGTCCTCACCGAGCATCTGCGGAGCCGCAATTTCCGGGATGTGCCCGCGCTCTCGTAAGGAGGACCTCCTTAGGGGTTGGGGGTAGTGTAAGGAAATTTCCTTTTCCTTACTTCACGTCCCTGCTCAGCGCGTACGCCACTGTTCCCGCCAACAGCACCCAACAGTAATCCGTTACCACTCGCGACACTCGCCTCGATACTGTTCCCGCCACTGTTCACGACGCGACCCAACCTCACGGCTCGGCGGGTAACCCGCGCTCCGGACCTCCGCCTCGACAATTCCCAACCTCGGCGCTAGGCCCGTCGCGCACCCCATTTTCCACATATTATCGTTACCACTGTAGTTTCGCTATATAATCTTCGCTCATGCCTTCTCTCGTTGTACTCTTGCTTCGATAGTGCAATCCTCGTTCGCTCACTCCATTGCACTCGTAACAAAATCTAACTACTTTGAGAGGCGGTGACTAAAATACGTTACAGTCGAAGACTTGTTCCCGCCCCGTTCCCCAAATCGGATTTTCCCTCAAGGCCTTGGAATAGCTGGCGTTGTTCTGCAGGCACTCGATGCCGTCGGAAGAATGTGCCACGATGCTGCCAAAGCGTTGACATTCTGGTGGGCAGCCCAAAAAAATGTTTCATCTCTGTCGATGTCGTCAGAATGGCATTGGCTGCAAAACATGCCTTTTGGCAACGGCATCAGAAGGGTTCGAAACCTCCCAGCGTTTTCCCTCTCATCAAATTGTGGTGCCTCTGCCATGCCAAGGCAAACAACCCGAGAGAGGTGGTTGGCCACGTGATGGCAGAGGCATTGGCCGGTTGGGAAAACCGCAACCTCACCCTGCTGAAAAGAGAACAGCAACCGAAGGCGCCCTTGACGACCAGCTTTTGTGGGGACTAGTTAGTTTTTCGTTTTTCCATCGCTTCCAACCCTGGCCCAGCTTGCTGCTAAATTTTCTACACAGCCCGTGACGAAATTGTTGCAACAGGGGGCCGAAGTCTCACTTCTCGTGCCCCCGCTTTCCTCGGCCAAAATGCGAAATTTCCCAAACAAGGAAAGTGCTTTGAGCGCCAGAGGAAGTTTCTGGCGGCAGAAACTGATGCCGCTGCCATGCCAATGCCACCTGCCTGCCGAACAACGCCGCTGCAAAACACGTGAAAACCCCGAGGAACCCCGTCCCGTTGCTCGATGCGCCTGAAAGCCACCGCCCTGACACGAGGTTTGTGTTCCTACGAGGTTTTCGTTCCACCCGATGGCGGTGTTCGCCAGCACATTTCTAAGCAAAAACGAGGGGATGACGACGGGATCTGGAAGGTAAGTCTCGCCTTCCTGATCCCGTCAGTTAGAGTTCGTTAACCTCCGTCAGCCTGGTCAGCCCGTAAAAATGCTGCCGAGCCTCTTATGCCGTCCGAACCTCTTAGAAAAGTGAGGGCGTGGCGAACGCCTCCAAATTTCACCCATTTCGAAATGGTTGACCGCATATGGAAACGGGGTCGCAGTTTCCTCCCCTGGCAAAAAACATCCCCCTGCAATGCCATCGCCATTCACCTATCCACGGTGAATGGCGATGGCATGGCTGTGGCACTGCATGTCTGAGGGGAACTGCGGAAGGTGGGGCTGGGGTTCCATATGCGGTTGCGAATTTTCCCGTTTTGGGAATCGAAACTTCGCGGACCGCATTACGCCCAGACCTTTTGGGCGGGTTCCGCCCCCGTTTCCTGATGCGGTCACCATGCCGATGCCGTCAAAATGCCATCTATTTTCGAATGTGCTGGCGAACACCGCCGATGTTTGCGTTCCTTGGTCCTACACGCCACGCGATGTGCAGACTTTCCCTTCCTCGTCCTCTCCGCACCAACCCCCAGATTCGCAGTGTCATTCCCCGTCATTCGCCGAGCCAATTGTTCCCCCCCAACCCACCTAGAGAGCTCCACGCTCCTTGCCACTGTGGGACACCACCAAATTCTCCCGACGCATACCACCTTCGCACGCGATGAATCTTCTGGGTAGACTAATTCAGCTGTGCGATCCACTACTTCCCCAGGTCACTCCTATCCCCTTCTCGCTTGTGTCTATTTAGAAACAGCGTTTGAGAGTTGCCTCTCACCTCTTTTCTTTTTCCTCTTTTCTCTGCTTCTGTTATCTACTTCGCGCAACCATGACCTCGCACAAGACGACGAGGTCAGCAACGCATATTAACAACCTTCCCAACGACGTCCTCGCTAGGATACTATGGCACACATCTAGGAATTCCGACTGTCACGCATTGAGGCCGAAACAGCAGCAGCAGCACTTTTATTCGATCGTTTTAGACGCCGTTTTGCATCTTGGCGAAGAGACTTTTCCACTTCCAACTCCCTCCGCCGTTCCTAACGCTGCCAAGATCTTCCTCGTGTCGTTAGTGTGCTGTCGTTGGCGCGATCTAGCTCAACGTGACGTCTCCACCCTCCTCGTTTATCAAAAACATGTTATTTCCCGACAACATGTCTCGAGTGCCATCACTTGCTTCTCAAACCTCACTGATCTCCGTCTGTGCTACGGCAGCGTGGATAACCTAGACGACGCCTTCCTCGCCCACCTCGCATCGGCGTGCCCTAAGCTCACAATTCTCCACGTGGGATGCGCCCACACGCAGCGTCTGAACGACATCCGAGGGAAGCACCTGCACCCGATCACCGAGGCTGGTCTGGATCGTTTCTTCCAGCGATACAATCAGCTGGAGCAGCTTTCCTTCCTCTGCCTCCATCGAGACGCTGTGCTACCGCCTTCCTTCTTCCAGCTAACGCGTCTACACACCCTAAGGTTAGCAGCTGTATCCGCCTTAGAAGCTCCAGATCTGGAGAGCCTCGTCTCTCTCACCACTCTCCATATCGACTCTACGACGTTGAACGATGCGCAGCTCGCCAACGTACGTCGCCTCCCCAGCATCACTAACCTTTCAGTGTCTTTCCAGACCGCCTTCTCTCTTGGTGATCCGGGCTCGCCTGCGTTCACCATCTCACAGCTAACGATGATAAAATCGTGGAGGACCTGCCAGCTGTTGCTGTTGGATTGGCCATGCACAAGTCTGGAACGGCTACGGTTATTACACTGTCGAGAACTGAAGCGGTTTCCGAACGACTTTGCAGAATTGCTGCCGAGTATTCGTAAGCTGACCATTTTCGAATGCCCCCTCTTGGAGGAGCTACCTGAAAGTTTCTGTTCCCTGAAGCACCTCGAGACCTTGTTACTCTTCAGCTGCAGCCAATTTCGCCGCTTGCCTGAAAACATTGGGAGCTTGTGTGCCCTGAAAACTCTGGGTTTGGAAAGGCTGCCGCTTGAGAGCCTCCCTGACTCCGTGTGCCAGCTCAGCTCTCTAGAAACCTTCTCCCTGCTTTCGTGCGCCCCGATCCGCGAGCTGTCAGCAAGGTTCGGCTGCCTCACATCTCTCACGACTCTCTGCCTCGGGCGAGTGGCGCTTCCAGCAGACGTTGGACGCCTGAGTAACCTCCGGACCCTTGTTGTGAGAGAGAGCTCTCAGCAGCGCCATCTCCCATCCTCTTTAAGCGAGATTTCTTCCTTGACCAGCCTGTCGCTTCACCAGTGCGGAGTGGAGGAGCTGCCAGAGGCCGTGGGGGAGATGAGCAACTTGCGCGACCTGCACGTCTCATCCTGCACTCAGCTCGTGGCCGTTCCAGCATCGTTGACTTGTCTGAATCGCCTTGAAGCTCTCACACTTACAGACTGCGCAAGTCTCACCTCCGTGCCCACAAGGTGGGACGGCCTCACGAGGCTCAAGTGGCTTGATGTGACTGCATGTGGCGAGCTGACAGGTCCCGATCAACTCCTGCCCGCTTCGCTTGAAGCGCTCAGCTGGGGGAGCGACATGCAGGCGATGCTTCTGCCAGACATCTCCAGGCTGACAGGGCTTCGAGGACTTTCCCTGATCAGGGTTGCTGTGGCCGCACGTGGGCTCGCTGTGAGCAGGAGTCTTTCTCATCTGGAGCGTTTGACTCTGAACCTGGGAGATGCGAACCAAACGCTCGCCGGAGACCATGCTGAGGAGCTTCCATTCCCATTGACCTTGCTTTCTCACCTGCGCACCCTGCATATTCGCAACGCAATGAGTCTCCAAACGCTGCCGGCTGATATCGGGTCAGCATTGCCGCAGCTGCGGAAGCTGACGCTGTTCCGTGTGGGCGAGTTGAGGGAGCTGCCAGCGAGTGTCACGGCACTGCAGAGCCTGACGTCCTTGGAAGTCAACTTGGCGAACAAAATGGTTTCTCTGCCGCATGACATCGGCGCATTATCCCGGCTGCGGGAGCTGCTGCTCATTCACTGCACGCACCTGGAGCATCTGCCTGCCTCCCTCACCCAGCTTGCCTGCCTCAACGAGATGTTGATTCTACGCTGCTCCATCCGCTCCCTGAGTCCCAACTTCTCATGGCTTGCACGGCTCAGGTCCCTTCATTTGAGTGGCTGTGCGCAGCTGCAGGCGTTGCCAGCTGACCTGAGTGAGATGAAGGCGCTGCAGGAGCTGATTGTGGAGGGGTGTAACCAGCTCACTGACGTTGATTGGTCTGTGCTCCCCAGAAGCAGCAGCTAGATGTTGATGTTTGGAATCTAATATGTACGGTATGTACGGTAGGTAGACACCAGGTCGTTTAATGTGACAGTGATATCACATCTTGGTTAACATCTTGGTTAACATCTGTCGATTTACCCCAACATCCACTGCCTGTTTCCTTTGCTATGGTGTCATTGAGCCACTCGCCAGCCCAGGTATGCAAGAGAGGATTGAAAAGAATCCTTAGCGACAGCAAAGGATGGATTTGGTTCGGGACACCTAGACTGTCTGGTGTAGAGGGGAAATGCTTTATTGGTGCTGTCATTGCCATCAATGTCACCCCTGTTGCTGTGGTGTCAGCATCATTGCCATCATTAGAATCTCTCATAACCATAACTGCCATAGACTGGGTTGCCGCTCTATTGTTGAGGTCTTCACCCATCTTAAAACTTGTTTTACAATCAACTCATATCAGGTACCATATACCGTACATAACACATCCCTTTGTGTTGAAGTACGGTAAGTGGATATACCTGCACTGCACCTATAGCGATGATGACTTACATTGGCCGAAGGATTTGTTGTGGCACCAAAATCTACGGTACTAGCAGTTGTGGAACTAATCAACAGATGCCATGAGTTTTGTGGTAGTGCTTGTTAGGCACCTCAGTAGCGTTGACAGCCATGGCAACATGCACTAGCAGCACTCTTAACCTGGAATGGGTTGAGACAATCCCGACCTGATGGGAGACAGGGAAAAGGGGGGCCTAGATACCGTATGTGGGGAACAACATATGAATGTATTGCGGAGATAACTCTAGTAACGGGAGCTAGACTACGGGCTAGGCACGTGTGCTCGTGTGATCTCTGCGTTCTCTGTTCCTTAGTCGTTTTCCTAGTGCACACACTGCTTGCTAGTTCACAAGGCAATTTGGCAAGAGTTTCACTAGAGAAAGTTGACAACAATGATACAATAATGTTGGCAAGACAAGACTACATCAGAGCTAGGATGCAAGCAGGTCGACTGCCAGCTCGGCACGGTCGACCGTGTGCCAGCACGACTTGGTCGACCGCGCTCCAACAGTGCAGAGACGCGGCTTGCCAACGCTGCAGGGAGACGGCGTGACAACAGCGCAAGTCGACGGCGTGCCAGCATTGCTCCCGCAGGACAGCAGCGCACCTACTTCGCAGGTGCTCGCAGATGATTGGCGTGCAGTGCCTCGTCACCTGCACAGCGCACACACCACATCAACTTCGTGCTGATGACCGCTTCTGATGCACCACGTCGACCTCGGGATACCATCACCGAGGTCGTCCTCGCCAAAACCACCTGGGCGACCATCGCAAGCCTTCGCAGCACCTCGTCACCCAGGTAACCTGGTCGACCGGGCAACCAGGTCGACCAGAGGCTCCAGTGCGTGCCCGTCGACCACCCAAGTCGACGACCACTTCCAGTCGACCTCACCAGGTCGACCACTGCCTCCGGTATGTGCCGGTCGACCTCCCAGGTCGACCACTACTCCCTGGTCGACCAGCTCTAGGTCGACGTCACTCCTGGTCGACCACAAGACCTGGTCGACTTCCCAGGTCGACCAGAAGGCCTGATCGACTTCCCAGGTCGACCAGAAGGTCTGGTCGACGTCCCAGGTCGACCAGAAGGGGTTGGTCGACTTCCCAGGTCGACCAGCCAAAGGTGGCGCCCTCCTGAAGTCGGCGCTCATGCAGTGGCTCCCCGTGCAGGTCGACCAACCTCGTCGACCAACTCGCCCACTGCTGCAGGTCGGCTGCACCCTACACCCGACCACGAAGTCGGCTCCGCCCAAGCGAGGACGGGGCCAATACCCAACTCCCGTTGACATGTATGGTATGTGACTCCTACTTGGAGCGACATGTAGCAAAGGAGAGAGGAGGAAAAATTGAACCCCATAAAGGCCAGCCTGATTTATTCAAGAGTGAGCGAATAGACACATACTCTGAGTGAGTAGTCTATGAGCGTGCATCCCCCTGTCCCCCGCCCATTTGTGCTCGCCCTTTCCCACCCTTTATGGATAGCCCACAAGCGGACGCCCCGGGATGAGCATGTCAAACCATATATGCTGCATATTGTTTAGGCTGTAGTGGGGTAGCCCATATGGGGTACAACCCAATTAGGGTTTACTACTTGTACTCCTGCATCCTGTTAGTTCATCCATTCCTGCTGCTAGATTCTAACATGGTTTCAGAGCACTAAGGTCCGTAGGACCGTTTTTTTTCGGGCCCACCTACCGCTGCGGTTACCGCGCTACCCCACGTAGCCTTGCCTTGCCTTGTATGCCTTGCCTTGCCTGCGCGCTGCCCCTAGAGGCCCGTAAGGCCCGCGCGCCGCCTCTACACGCCTGTCGGGCCCGCACACACGCTGCTACCGCGCGCTGCCCGCACCGAGATCGCGCAGCCCGCCCCGAGTCGCGCGCAGCCCGCTGCAGCCACGCGCAGCCCGCACCGAGCCGCGCGCAGCCCGCTGCAGCCGCGCGCAGCCTGCACCGAGCCGCGCACAGCCCGCTGCAACCGCGCGCAGCCCGCACCGAGCCGCGCGCAGCTCGCAGCTGCCGCGCGCAGCCCGCGCCGAGCCCGCGCAGCCCGCGTCGAGCCGCGCGCGGCCTGCTACGGCCTCGCGCAGCCCGCGCGCGGCCCGCAGCAGCTCGTGCCGAGCCGCGCGAGGCCTGCTCCTGCCTCGCACGGCCCGCGCGCGGCCCGCAACAGCCCGCGCCGAGCCGCGCGCGGCCCGCTACTCCCTAGCGCGGCCGCGCGCGGCCCTTTGCCTCGGCCCCGACCTGCCGCTGATGCGGCCCCGCCCAGCAGCTGCCATGGCCCCGACCTGCCGCTGATGCGGCCCCGCCCTGCAGCTGCCACGACCCCGACCTGCCGCTGACGCGGCCCCACCCTGCTACTGCCGCTGACGCGGCCCCGCCCTCCAGCTGTTTCGGCCCTGCTCTGCAGCCGGTTTTGCGGCCCCGACGTCGCCGCTGTCGTGCGCCTACTCGAGCGCCGGCCCTGCTCTCCCAGCCTTTGGTGAGCGCCTGCCTGCCTGCCTGACGGCCTGCCTGTCTGCCTGCCTGCCTGCCGGCCTGGCTGCCTGCCTGCCTGCCGGCCTGCCTGCCTGCCTGCCTGCCTGCCTGCGTGTCTAATTGCCTGCCTGCCTGCCTGCCTACCTGCCTGCCTGTCTGCCTGCCTGCCTGCCTGCCTGGCTGCCTGCCTACCTGCCGGCCTGCCTGCCTGCCTGCCTGCCTGCTTGCTTGCCTGCCTGCCGCGCCTGCCTTGCCTGCGCTACTGCTACTGGCAGGTGGCCAGATGCAGCTCCAGCGACATTCACGCGAGCCTCTGACGCCCCAGCAGCTTAGTGAGTGGTATACTAGCTGGGGTTGTCGCGGTAGCCGTCGTAGCTGTCGCCCTGGGGCTGGTCAGTTGGGAGCGTCTGGCAGTGGCCAGCTGCAGCTGCAGGGACGTCCACGTGAGACACTTACGCCCCGGCAGCTCCAGGAGTGGTACGCTCAGTGTAGCAGGTCTACGCGTACAGTCCGCTGCCCGTACGTCATTCGCACAGGTGCTAGGACTGGTCAGCCTTGTGGGACGCTTGGTCACACACAGTCCCGCTGCTTCGCCCGTCTGAGCGACGACTGGCGCACAGTGTTTGGCGACGAGGCTGAGCTCCCCACCTGGCTGGAGCTGCATAGACAGAGGGTAGATATCTTTGCGCTTGACTATGATGCTATTCTCACTGCCATGTATGCATTGTCTACTAGTGCTGACCGTGCCTGTTGCCTGTGCGTACCGCCTGACCCTGGTGAGGCTGCTGCCCTAGGTGCTAGTGCGTCTCCTGCTCTAGGTGCTGGTGAGGCTGCTGCTCTCGGTGCTAGTACGTCTACTGCTCTAGGTACTGGTGAGGCCGTGGCATCAGGTGCTGCTGTGTCTGCTCTCTCTGGTACTGCGCCCACTGCGGTCTCGCACACCTTCACCCTTGACTCAGGAGCTTCCCGCTCCTTCTTTCGCGACTGCACCGCACTCACGCCGCTCCGTCGGCCAGTCCCGGTCTCCCTGGCGGACCCCTCTGGGGGTCCAGTCCTTGCCCACTATTCCACGGTTCTGCCGTGTCCGGCCGTCCCGTCCGGCTCGCTGTCAGGTCTTTACCTCCCCTCGTTCTCTACGAACTTGGTGAGTGGAGCTGACCTCCAGGATGGGGGGGTTGACCAGTTCACTCCTGCGAGTCAGCGAGTGACTCACTGTACGTGTGCTAGGACGGGCCGGCACTTGGCCACGTTCACCCGTGCACCTGGCTCGAGTCTGTACACACTGACCACTGAGTCCCCTCAGGTAGCTGCGTCTGCGTTTGCGTCTGCGTCTGGTCAGCTGGCGGCCCCCTGCGAGTGTCGCGCTTTGTCGCACGACACTCTCCTGTGGCACCACCGCCTTGGTCACCCCTCCTTGCCTCGCCTGCATGGCATGCACTCTCGCTCCCTGGTCTCTGGTCTTCCCAGGTCCCTGCCTGCCCTCCCTCCCTCGCCTGCGCCGCCCTGCATTCCTTGCGTCGAGGGGCGGCAGCGCGCCGCTCCTCACTCCTCCTCGTTTCCTCCCACAGAGGCTCCACTGCAGACGCTCCACCTGGACGTGTGGGGCCCAGCCCGCGTCCAGGGACAGGGCCGCGAGCGGTACTTCCTGCTGGTCGTCGACGACTACACGCGTTACACCATGGTCTTCCCCTTGCAGAGCAAAGGGGACGTCCCTGCTGTTTTGATCCCCTGGATCCGCGCTGTTCGTCTCCAGCTCCGCGAGCGGTTCCGGTCGGACTTTCCTGTCCTGCGTCTGCACTCTGACAGAGGTGGTGAGTTCTCCTCCGACCTCTTGGCAGCCTACTGTGCGGAGCACGGCATCACCCAGTCGTTCACGCTTCCGGCCTCTCCGCAGCAGAATGGGGTTGCTGAGCGCCGCATTGGCTTAGTCATGGAGGTCGCTCGTACCTCCATGATCCATGCGGCTGCCCCCCATTTTCTGTGGCCGTTTGCGGTCCGGTACGCCGCGCATCAGCTCAACCTCTGGCCCCGTGTCTCCTTGCCGGAGACCTCGCCCACACTGCTGTGGACGGGGAAGGTTGGCGATGCGTCGCGTTTCCGGGTCTGGGGTGCTCGTGCCTTTGTCCGCGATACCACCGCGGACAAGCTCTCCGCTCGCGCTGTTCCCTGTGTCTTCCTTGGCTTTGTCCCTGACGCGCCTGGTTGGCAGTTTTACCACCCCACCTCGCGCCGTGTCTTTGCGTCTCAGGACGTCACGTTCGACGAGTCGGTTCCCTTTTACCGTCTCTTCCCCTACCGCACTGCCTCGCTCCCCCCCCCGCCGCTCTTCCTTGCTCCAGGTGCTCCCCAGGTAGACCCCCTCCCCGCTCCCGGTCCTGCTCCTTCAGGTGTTTCTCAGGTAGACCCTCCTCCCTTGACTGCGCCGGTTGAGGTCACTGGTGACTCAGGTCCTCCTGCGAGTGGTCCTGCTCGGGGTGCTGAGCCTGGGGGTGCGGAGCCTGGGGGTGCTGAGCCTGGGGGTACTGAGCCTGAGGGTGCGGAGCTTGAGGGTGTAGAGCCTGGTGGTGCTGAGCCTGCGTGTGAGGGGTCTGGGGGTGCTGAGCTTGGCGGTACTGACGCTGGAGGTTCTGGAGCTACTGAGGGTGCTGGCGCTGGAGGTTCAGGAGCTGCTGGAGGGCCTAGTCCTGGTGGCGCTGGAGCTGGAGGTCCTGGAGCTGTTGAGGGTGCTCGCGCTGGAGGTTCTGGAGTCGCTGGAGGTACTGGTGCTGAGGGTACTGACACCGGAGGTTCTGGAGCCGTTGGGGGTGCGGGCGCTGAGGGTTCTGAGTCTGCTGTTGCGCGGTCTCCTTGGAGTGGCCGCCTTCGTCCCCGTGTGCCTCTCACCCCACAGCAGCTGCAGGACTGGTACGGTCGCCGTCAGCGTCGCTGGAGCTCGGAGTCATGCTGGTCCTTTGTCTACTGGAGGTGCTGGAGTTGCTGGTTCTGGAGGGGCTCGTGCTGGAGACACTGAGGCTGGAGACCCTGGGACTGGAGGTGCTGGCTCTGGGGGTGCTGCTGCTGGAGACGCTGAGGTTGGAGACCCTGGAGCTGGAGGTGCTGGTTCTGGGGGTGCTACTGCTGGAGACCCTGCGGTTGGAGACCCTGGGACTGGAGGTGCTGGTTCTGGGGGTGCTGCTGCTGGAGACACAGAGGTTGGAGACCCTGGGACTCGAGGTGTCGGCTCTGGGCCTGGAGCTTCTGGAGCTGCTGGAGGTACTGGAGCTACTGGAGGTACTGGAGCTGCTGGAGGCACTGGAGCTGCTGGAGCTGCTGGTTCTGGTGCAGCTGCGCCGACACGACTGTTCTTCGCTCCGCCGTCTCCGTCGTCTCTGCCGCCGTCTGCCTCTGTTCTTCGTCAGGTTCTTACTCTTCCGTCGTCTACTGGTCTTCCGTTACAGACTGGCTCGCCGCTGCCTGCTCCTTCTCCTTACGCTGAGCTGACTGGTAGTCCTGCTGTGCGTCGTGAGCCTGCGTCGCGTCCTGTCTCGCCTGCTCGTCCTGGTCGTACCGGTCCTCGTGTTCCTCGTTCGCGTCCACCGGCTGTCCCCAGCGCACACCTCGTAGTCCGTCGTCCTTCCTCTGTTCCGCAGCCTGTTCCTCTGCCGTCTCCTCCTGCGTCCTCTTTGCCTGACGTTCCGGACCCTGCGTCTGACCGGTTTCGTGCTCAGCACCCTACTGTCACGCGTCTACTAGCCACAGTTGTCACTGACCCGTCGTTTGAGTCTGCTGCTGCGTCTGCTCTTGTCGCTGAGCTTGTTGACTTTGCTGCTGCCTGTCGTCTAGACTTCACTGCCAGTCTTGTTACTGAGTCTGAGTCTGTCTGTCCTCTGTCCGTCGGGGGTGAGTGTGCTCTTAGCACGGACGTCCTTGAGGACAGGCAGGAGGAGTTCCAGTGCCTTGCTGCTGCTTTACCTCATCTTGTGTCCTCGCTACTTGCCCCTGAGGGAGACCCGGATGCACCAGACATCCCGACTCCGCGCTCTTACGCAGAGGCGATAGAGGGTCCCTACTCCTCTCAGTGGCAGGCAGCCATGGACGCAGAGATGGCTTCCTGGAAGTCCACAGGCACCTACGTTGACGAGGTTCCCCCACCTGGGGCGAACATCGTCAGTGGCATGTGGATTTTCAGGGTGAAGCGGCCGCCGGGTTCTCCGCCTGTCTTCAAGGCGCGTTACGTGGCTCGAGGCTTCAGTCAGCGAGAGGGAGTTGACTTCTTCCAGACCTTCTCCCCCACCCCGAAGATGACCACTCTTCGGGTGCTGCTGCACGTTGCTGCTCACCGTGACTACGAGCTTCACTCTCTTGACTTCAGCACAGCTTTCCTGCAGGGCAGCCTGCACGAGGAGATCTGGCTGCGCCGCCCCCCGGGCTTCACTGGGTCGTTCCCTCCTGGTACCCAGTGGAGCCTCCGGCGGCCGGTCTACGGTCTCCGCCAGGCGCCACGTGAGTGGCACGACACACTGAGGACTATGCTTGCGGCTCTTGGGTTTGCGCCTTCTACTGCTGACCCGTCGCTGTTTCTGCGCACCGACACTTCCCTGCCGCCGTTCTACATCCTCGTGTATGTCGACGACTTGGTTTTTGCCACTACTGACACTGAGGCTCTCGCCCACGTGAAGTCAGAGCTGCAGAAGAGACACACGTGCACAGACTTGGGTGAGCTGCGCAGCTACCTTGGCTTGCAGATCACCCGAGACAGAGCACGTCGCACCATCACCTTGACTCAGTCACACATGGTGCAGCAGGTCCTTCAGCGCTTCGGCTTCACCTGGTCTTCAGCACAGGCCACTCCTCTGGCTACAGGTCACACGCTCTCAGCTCCACCTTCGGACGAGTCCGTAGAGCCGAGTGGTCCTTACCCAGAGCTAGTCGGCTGCCTCATGTACCTGATGACTTGCACTCGACCTGACCTCGCGTACCCTCTTGGTCTCCTGGCTCGCTACGTGGCTCCTGGTCGGCACCGACCTGAGCACATGGCTGCTGCTAAGAGGGTACTGCGTTACTTGTGCAGCACATCAGGCATGGGGCTAGTGCTTGGAGGGACGAGCCCAGTTGTCCTCACTGGGCACTCAGACGCTTCTTGGGTTGACGACCTGGCTACTCAGCGGTCGTCACAGGGTTACACCTTCAGCCTTGGCTCTGGTTCAGTTTCGTGGCGTTCTACACGCTCGACTTCAGTTCTCGGCTCCAGTTGTGAGGCTGAGATCTACGCCACCGCCATGGCTGCACAGGAGTTACGCTGGCTCACCTACCTGCTGACTGACTTGGGAGAGAGGCCTCGTTCTCCTCTAGTTCTGTACGTTGACAACAAGGCCGCCATTGCCTTGTGTGAGGAGCACAGACTGGAGCACAGAACGAAGCACATTGCTCTGCGGTACTTCCTGGCTCGAGAGTTGCAGCAGCGAGGCCAGCTTCGTCTTCGCCACGTGGCCACTCGGGCCAACACTGCTGACATATTCACCAAGGCACTTCCGTCTGGTGATCATCAGCGCTTTTGTACTCTGTTAGGCCTTGTGCCTATGTTTCCACACTTGCTGTAGTCTCTACTTGTACTGTGATCTGTACATATATATATATGCATGCTGGCTCTTGCTAGGTAGCCATCACTGTACTGTTATTGCTGCATATATATCTCTGCATGTGAACTGGCCCAGTGGCCCTTTGCTTGTGCTCAGAATGCGTGGTGACGTTGTGATCCACCCTGAGCTTGTTTTGCTTCTCTTGACTGGTCGTGTGACCCCTTGTTCTCCCCCACTTTGCCTATGGGGGTGTGTCAAACCATATATGCTGCATATTGTTTAGGCTGTAGTGGGGTAGCCCATATGGGGTACAACCCAATTAGGGTTTACTACTTGTACTCCTGCATCCTGTTAGTTCATCCATTCCTGCTGCTAGATTCTAACAGAGCATGGCTGGTGGGGACTGGTAGCAGGTGCATGCAGGGTGTGTGGGAGAGATGGCAGGAGAGGTGGAGGCATGTGGTCAGCTGGAGGGGCTACTGTGGGAGGCTCGTGGCTGAGCACGGAGAAGGATCTGCTGCAAAATAAAAAAGGCATTCCCCGATTCAAAGGTAAGGATTTGTTCCCAGTATTGTATTCATAGCTTGGGTGTCCCTGTGTATATGTTGGAAGGATGTTTTTTAACCCCATTCCGTGGTAATTTTTGCAGAAAATTACTCATGGCCTTTTCCATGTGGAGTTGCATGATGGTTGGTATACATCAATCAACTGCATATCATCATGCCTTCTCCTTGTGGGAATGCCTTCTCCTCCGTTCATTTTCATTCTCCCTATCAGTTTCCAATGTCATTTGCTGAGCTATCTGGCACTGGCATTTTCTCAATCAGACTGGCATTTTCTTGGCAGCTTCCCATTGCGCTTGGGCCAGCCAATTTCGATTTCATTCCATCCAGTCAACTTGCCATTGTCATTCTTCCATCAAAGACATGGCAATCGCCACCCAATAATTTCTATCTTTTCCAATGCCGTCACTCTTCCTCCCGTTATCGTTCGCAATAATTCCATCCATTCTTCTTGTCAGTTGCCTTTGTCTCTCTCAATACATTTTTCTTTCTTTGCCACTTTCTACCGGCACTGCTATTTCGTGCATGAGAACACAGGCACGCCCACCCACCCATCCGTCATCCCAGCACCCATCTCTCCTTCCCCAACCTCTCCAGTGCATGCCTGCCTGCCATGCCTACCATGCATGCCCCTGCCATACCTACCATGCCTGCCATGCCAGCCATACCTGCCATGCCTGCCATGCCTGCCATGCCTGCCACGCCTGTCATGCCTGCCATGCCTGCCATGCCTGCCATGCCTGTCATACCTGCCTGCCATGCCTGCCATGCCTGCCATGCCTGCCATGCCTGCCATGCCTGCCATGCCTGCCATGCCTGCCATGCCTGCCATGCCTTCCATACCTGCCATGCCTTCCGTACCTGCCATGCCTTCCATACCTGCCATGCATGCCATACCTGTCATGCCTACCCACGTCGGTCACCCTGATATTCAACGCACCTCTCCCGAATCCATTGTATGGCAGTGCTCATGCAGTAGGGGATCAGCAGCGCAGTGAGATGGCAGTGATATGGCAGCGAGGTGGGATGAGGTTATACAGCAGTGACTGTACAGCGGTGAGGTGGCTGCCCTGTGACTGACTCCCATTGCAGCAGCCGGACCCTCTGCCATGCCAACGCCATACCACTGCCATGCCAATGCCATGCCAACGCCATACCACTGCCATGCCAAATCCATGCCAGTGCCAGTGTCATGCCAATTCCGTGTGCTTCGCCGTGCCGCCCTCTGAAAGTTCATATCATCATTTGCCGTTATTCCGTTGGACGTACCGTTGCCATTTGACATGCCATATTCCAATTTCCCATTCTCTTAGTCAATTGCCAGTTTGCCCTGTTTGCCACACACATATTGGTTGGTATGGTATAGTAGTGGCATAGCATGCAGTGTTCATTTATCTTAGTTTCCCATTGCGCGTATTTCCCATGTCACCTGCGAGTTATTAGCTGACATTTCTCCAGGGTCATTTTTTTCACTCTCAAAGTTCTCTTTATTTCACACTTCCAATCCCACCCTCCGTCGTGGTTCTGGCATGTCCGTGATGCATGCTTATACTGTGTGTGTCACCCTTTGTAAGTGTAACTTACATAGTGTAAGGCACCCTCTGTAAGTGTAACTTACACAATGTATGTCACCCTATGTAACTTACACAGTGTCCTGTCTGAGCGAAGACCCTGTGCATTCCCTTCTATATGTTAAGGCCCATGCACGTGTGCATGATATGCCTGTCGGCCCATGCATGCATGATATGCCTGTTTTTGCATGTGTGCATTATATGTCTGCGTCGTTATGTGTGCATTGTATGCTTGTTTATCCTCCTGCTTATTCTCATTCCCCAGTCCGTTTTTCACGATCAAGTTCGCACCATCTCAAAAATGTGGCCCTTAAAAATTGCAATTTACAGCCATAACCGCCATGTCCATGGCGGGATTATGGCCATAAATTGGCCGGTTGTATGCAGGCCGCTTCGTAGGCGTTTAGGTCCCGTAAATCATTGGGCTGTACATTGACTATAACAGCCATTTATGGCCCGTTCCACATTGTCGTGCATAGCCACGTATGGTTGTGTATTTGAGTACTATTTACAGGCATGTATTGTCTGCCTGTAAATGCACCTGAATGGTGGGACAATTAATCGCTCTTAATTTGAGGACAATAAATTTCAATTTATTGGCAAACTATATATTGACACAAGCATCAAGAGCATTAACTGACGTTTTTGACAACATCAATGTATCGGAAAATGTTTTGCACCTGCTATTGTTTAGTAGTGTTCCGGAAATGGAAATATTGATGTAACATATACAAAAGGCACATACATTACAAAACATCCATTTACTGCCCTAGCCATGATATAAAACTACTAGGGCTAGTAGACCAATTTCACAGCTAAGGTATTTGAGCCAATTGACTTCCACCTGCACATAGAAACAACGCCATGGTTAAAACTGCTTGTAGGCGCCAGATCCGCGAACGATACAAGCACAACACATCTGCCACACAAATCAACAGCCATTTCGTGTGAGGTTAGACCTACTACGAATACGGAGAAGGTAGAAACAACACTCAGGCTCACACAACAGCCAGATGTTAAACCTGCGCCTGCCAATGAGAAGTGCCAACAAGAGTGTGCGCGGAACTTCGACAACGACATGTCTAGACGTCGCATGCCTAGGACAACTAAGGATCGTAGCCGTAGCAGAACTCGTCACGATGAGTGCTGTGATCGAGTGGAACTAGACGAGGAATAATCAGATGGAAGAGCGAGGAGAGGAACGAATGAAAAAATGATTTGTAAGAATAATATGGTAAGGAGAGGTGGGTTCCTTTTGTATGGGAATGGGATGGGGCGAAGGTAGGATAGGAAGGGATCGGGTCGAGTGGAGCGCAAGCAAAACGAAAGTGGCGTTGGTTGGGTTGGGAACTTCGGATTGGTTGAACTGCTCACGAGCCGCACTACACCACCCCTGCTCTAAAATCACGGCTGATCGAGCTGATCAGCAGCGACTCGAAAGCTGTAATTTGGCTGCGTCTGGCGACAGGATTGGTTGAGATCGAGCAGCTCCTGCTCTGTACCAATCGCGCTGATGTGCGCCAGCGACTTGTGTGTCTGTGGTGTTCTGTACCTAGCGCGTGAGATGGTGTGTGGTGCCTATGTCTGCTGTGCTGGACGCGAGATGCGGTTTCGATATTAGTATCCAATCGTAAAGCCCCACATCATCATCTGAAACCAATTTCATTGGTCAAAAACATTATTCGAAATATGTGACCCTCTACATCATTCGCAAGAAAAAGCATCATCCTGACCAGATGCAGAATACGCAACCAACCCAGAGAGCAAGAAATACAGTAACATAATCACTCAGCACGTTTTTGTAGTTTAAGAGCAGCATTCATTATTTTCACAATAGAATGCAAGGTCCATGCTATCAAGCCCAGCAAAATGCAAGCATGTACCATATAGAATTTGTAGAGTTAACACATGCCTCACTTCTATTGCAAAGAAAGAACCACAAAAAAATGAAAACGCATACACATACACACACACATACGTGCGCATACACACATACACACACACAGACAAACACACACACACATACACACAAACGCACATACACACAGACACATATTCGCGCACACGTACGCGCGTGCGCGCATGTACACGCATAACAGAAATAAGCAAACAAACAAACAAACAAACAAACAAACAAACAAACAAACAAACAAACAATCAATCAATCAATCAAACAAACAACAAACGACGACGACGACAACAACAACAACAACAACAACAACAACAACAACAACAACAACAACAACAACAACAACAACAACAACAACAACAACAACAACAACAACAACAACAACAACAACAACAGCAGCAGCAGCAGCAGCAGCAGCAGCAGCAGCAGCAGCAGCAGCAGCAGCAGCAGCAGCAGCAACACGAGCAACAGCAACAACAATAACAATAACAATAACAGAAGCAGCGATAACGATAACAGCAGCAGCAGCAACATCAACAGCAATGACAACAACAACAACAAGAAAAACACTAACAACAACACAAGCAACAGAAGCAGCAATAACAGCAGTAGCAGCAGTAGCAGCAGCAGCAGTAATATCGACGAGGACGACGGCGGCGCGATGATTGCGACGACGACGGCACGATGATGGCGATGACGACGACGAAGACGACAAGGAGGAGGACGACAAGGTCAACGATAACGACAACGACGACGTTAGTGACTACGAGCGACAATGATAACAGCGAAGACGACGACGACAACAACCAAAACGACGGCGACGATGACGACAACGGCAACAAGTATGACTACGACGACGATAATAGAGATGATAACGGCAACGACAACGACAACGACACCAATGGTAGATTGTATTGGGTGCAACGCTGGCAGTTTGCCTTGCTGCAACGATGGCAGGTTGCATTACTGTAACGTTCGCGAGTCGCTATTCTGCTATGCTGGCAGGTATACATATGATCAACCGTCTGTCTACAAACATGTGCGAAGTGGGTGTACACATGTATACGGTTGCAACGTTGGTAGTGCGGATAGTCACTGCACAATAGTTGTGCACTACGGGGGAGGGCACGGGGTTGTGCGGGTGATCGTAGCACTCTAGAAGTGTTCTTACTACTTGCTGTGTTCATAAGGAAATTTGACTAAAGTTTGACTATAAATTGAGAAGGACATTTTAAATACAATGAGGTATGCAAGTCGATGTAAATAGAATGGCATTGCAAGACGTAGCAAGCCCTCTGCAAGGCGAGCTCTGCCAGCGCAGCAGAAGAACGGCAGGCCACCAACTTTTGCTGCGCTTTCGGTCGACATGCTTGTTTGCTATGCTGCATTGCATCCACGCTGCCAATAATTCGAATTCACAAATATACAATTGTATGCGTGTACGAAATAAAGAAAATAACACACTCGTGATGGTTTGCACTCATACAAATGTAATTCAGCCCAATCTTTTTTTTATTATTATTTTAGAAGGAGATCGTCTTGACAGATTTCTGAGATGGTTAAGAAAGGAAATATAATAACAATCCAGAATAGGCATGTATTGAGAATTATGGCATGCTCGCCAACACCAGCACGTCAAACATTTGCCAGAAGTGCATGTGGGCGAAACTTGACCTCGCGTTACTCTAGCGAACTTCTCGCCAATAGCCGTTCAGACCTTGTCAGAACATCGCGCTGACCATAAAACGAGATAAATCACCTGACTGTAACAATTCCCTCCCCAAAATTGGCGCGAGCAGAGTCGTGCCGCATCCAGAAGTTTAAGCCGTCGATTCGTGAATCATCGAACGACTCACGACACTCCGTGAAAGCACATTCTCTGAAGCACATGCGACGCGCGAAACCGAGTGTTTTGTAAGCGCGATCTTCACCGTTCGTCAAATCGCTTGGAAACTCATCCGTAGATCAAGCGCAGGCACATTCCAGGAAACAACCAAGCACAATTTCTTGCGCACAGAACCGGCAAAACAGGCTTGATGACGGTACCAAAATTGCCACGTCCGCCCCGAACACAGGCACAGGCAATATACAACTTACAACCATTGGACTCCATCGAGAAAAGTGGTCCGATGGGCCACCCCATTTTCAACACCCCCAACATTTTTGCGATGACCTTCCCGTTCCTATGACCCCTTTCTCCTAATTCCAACCCCTTCATCCAATTTTCGTGGTCCTATTTTCATGATCCCACTTTCTTGATATGATTCCGTTTTTCCTAAATCCAAGATCTCCCACTTTCTTGATATGATTCCGTTTTTCCTAAATCCAAGATCTTATTGCAAGTATCCCTCTCCCACAATCTGATTCTCATTATCCCATTCGTATGACCCAATCTCATTATCTTGTTACCAATCTTATCTATACCCTGAACCATTCCCACAATCACATTGTGATGATCTTATTCCCATGATGCCATATGATCCCATTCCCAGCCATATGATCCCATTCCCAGCCATATGATCCCATTCCCAGCCATATGATCCCATTCCCAGCCATATGATCCCATTCCCAGCCATATGATCCCATTCCCAGCCATATGATCCCATTCCCAGCCATATGATCCCATTCCCAGCCATATGATCCCATTCCCAGCCATATGATCCCATTCCCAGCCATATGATCCCATTCCCAGCCATATGATCCCATTCCCAGCCATATGATCCCATTCCCAGCCATATGATCCCATTCCCAGCCATATGATCCCATTCCCAGCCATATAATCCCGTTCCTAGCCATATGATCCCATTTCCAGCCATATGATCCCATTCCCAGCCATATGATCCCATTCCCAGCCATATGATCCCATTCCCAGCCATATGATCCCATTCCCAGCCATATGATCCCATTCCCAGCCAAATGATTGTCTAAGTAGTAGATTAAGTTAAGACTAGGGTTTGGGGTAGGAGGAGACTTGAGAGAGTAGCATGACGAGAGAGTTAGCCAAAAAGAGATGCAATAATGAGAAATGGTACAAAGTTATAGGAAAGAAAGAAGTGGTGCACCACCAATAGTTCATAATAGCTACACTAAACTACAGCTACAAGCAGTTACAGATAAATTCTAACAATGATCCCATTTCCAGCCATATAATCCCATTCCCAGCCATATAATCCCATTCCCAACCATATGATCCCATTCCCAGCCATATAATCCCTCCTTGTCTGTGGAGGGTCAGCATCCACAGATTACAATTGTACCGGCCTTAACTGGCCAGGGCGCTGCTAGAATGGGGTAATCCAGCGTGCATAGCTGGGCTGGCATGTTTCTGAAACTCAGAGAATCCAACCTCTGGGAACTTTGATGAGGCGAGCCTGCCACTTTGTTTACCTTGTACATGTGCACTAGCAATGGTTCAGTGAGATGCTTCTGCACTTCATGCTAGATGATTTGTTATACGCTATACAGAGTTTGGTCTGTCTTTCTGCTACGTTACTAGAAACTCAACTCCCTTCGATCAGTGGACAGGTAGTTGGTTGAAAAGACTGCGGGTAAGAGGAGTCACTGGGAATCAAATTTGATGCAAAGCAGAGAGATGATGGAGCGTCTTGCAAGCAAATGTCATTCTACAGCTCAAACATGGAGAACCGCCATTGGTGATTACCATACCATATCTGCTTACTTGGCATGCTCAAATGCTTTCTCATGTGTGTGATGCATGCAATCAGGCACGACTGTGATGCATGCAATCAGGAATGACTGTGATGCATGCAATCTGGCATGACTGTGATGCATGCAATCTGGCATGACTGTGATGCATGCAATCTGGCATGACTGTGATGCATGCAATCAGGCACGACTGTGATGCATGCAATCAGGCATGACTGTGATGCATGCAATCTGGCATGACTGTGATGCATGCAATCTGGCACATTTGTGATGCATGCATAACTTCTAATGGTCACTTCCCCTCTCTTACACCAGTCTAACACTTGGCATGTCTGTGTTGCATGCACTCAGGCAAGGATGATCCATCCATGCCCTTCCATGCATTCTGCTGCCTGCACCCATGAGTGCATCCCTTCCGTATGCCTAAGATTCTATTCTTTGCTTATGCTTTCTCCACACTCAGTTTCATACACCCCATTCCATTACAACAGCATCTGTTTGTGCCCATGCTTTGCTCATACTTTTCCTTTCCCATGTGTGCATGGCATGCATCCTTTCGCATAATCACATATCCACTCATTCCATATCCATTCCCATATCCATTGTCTTTTCTCTTTCTCTTTTTCCATGATCAAGATTCCATTCTCATGATCTAGTTCTATTATCACCCTTTCGTTATCGCTGTTTTGTGATCCCAATCTCGTGATCTCATTTTAATGATCTGATTCGATTTTCATTATCCCATTCGTCGCAATCTCATCATCCGATTACTGTGTTCCCCTTCTCACTATCAATTTTTCATTCTCTTGTTCATGGGATCCCATTTTTGAGATCCCGGTTCCATGTTTATGTTCCCACTATCGCATTCTGGTGATTCCCATCCTCATGGTTCCATTCCTACAATCTCATGTGCATTATTATATTCTCACAAATCCAGTCATTCACTTGATTTGGATCTCATTGACTTGATTCTTTGTTGTCACATACCATGATCCCATTCCAATCACCTCATTCTCATAATGCCATTCCAATAATCCCGGCCTTTTCATCCCATTCTTGTGATCACAATGTCACGTTCCTGTTTCACCATTCTCACATTCCGTTTCTCGGAGCACCCTTTTTTCCACATTCTCATGTGATCCAATTTCTTATTGACCATGGTCATGGTGCAAATATCATCCCACTTTCACTGAATTTTCTCATTGTCCTGACCTCACAGTCTTTATTGATCACATTTCCATGATCTCAATCCCACTATCCCATTCACATAGTCTTATTCTTATGACCCTATCTCCTCGATCGCAATACCACGATCACATTCCCGTTATCCTAATCTCATAAGACCATTTTTATTGGTCCCATCCTTATATTCCCATTCACATGACCCCCGTCTCATGATTTCGTTACTGCGACCCCATTCCTAAAATCTCACATCCACATTCTAATTCACATGATGCATCTCATTCTAACATCCTCAGCATCCTTATCTCAAGATCCCATCGTTTTAAAACAAGCCCTTCCATTCAAATTATCCTTGTCTCATTATCCAATTCCATTACTACATTCCCATCACTTTCCCTGCTTCTCATCATCTTCTCATGTGACGAGAAGCAGCCATAGGGGTTACTTTCTATACCATTGTCGACTATTCGATGGTTTGCATTTTCCACTTCATGCATACCGTACACATGTGTTGCCTTGAGGTTCCACATCGCTTCCATGCCGCCTCCATCACTCGGAGCCGGCATATGGAAATCACGTGTGGTACCTTGAGGTCCCACTCCCATACCTCTCATCCACACCGCCTGACATGGGCCATCCCAAAGCCTTCCAGGTAATGCTGCCATGCCTCCCAAATGCATCAGTACGCTGTGCTTGCCGTGCCTGGATGGGTGGGGCGTGATGGAAGGCAGTGAGGGTGGGCTGGATGAGACACGAGACGCGCACACATACTCGCCCATCAAGTGAGTGACGAATCAAGTTATTCTTCTTGAAAATGCATGTAATTGGTTCATGAGATCCAAATCAAGAAAATGCTATTCTTCTTGAAAATGCATGCAATTGGTTCGTGGAAGGACATTCGGGAGGAGAACAGCCATCATCAACACCCATTTTCTCATTACAGTGTTGACCATTGGAATTTAATTATTTACACTTTACCACCAAGTTACCCTCAGTAGCACATCGCTTCAATTATCTCTCAAACTTGAGGGTGAAGTTGTAGACAAGTGCAAGCATATGTATAGATGAAAATGCCACTATCTTACAAACTGCACCATACATTGATGAGATTCGCAACAATTATATAAACACATTTTCTAGAAATTTCTAGAAATCAGTTTGCTGGTTTGCTGGTGGAAATAATATGTTTCGAACTCTATCTATTTCACTGTTATATTGATAACGAATCTGCACATTGAAGCATTCGTTTTTCCTGTGCTCATCCCGACCTTGAATCCTGCGTAAGGAACCTCCATGAACGACCAGCGTTTTGGAAGGAACCCTAGTTCCTCGAGATCTTCTTCACTGCTGATCCGTGAGTTGCTAGGCACCACGCCGCAGTACGATCCGATGGCCCCCAACTTAATCGCCTCCGTAGATTTCTCGGTCGCTTGCTTTCGCAGTTCGTTGACGCTGACGGAACGAAATCGAAGGCATAGCAGCCTCGAGCATGGACCACAGCCACACGAACCCCACATTCAGTCAACGAGAAGCAGTGCCGTGCTTCCGCAGGCAAATCGCTGGTTCATCCTCAAGCAGTGGCGAGCTTGACGGAAGTGCGATTCGATTTCAGTTTGGGCAGCCGAAATGCTGAGATTTTGCTGCCCAAATCTACTTGGTCCTAGATGAACGAGCCGCGACAGTCTCGCCCGGCCGTGCCGAACCTCCAGGCTATGCTTGGAGCATTCGTTTCGGACAGCTTGCCATTGGCTGCTTAACCCCTCCGTCCATTCTCCTCCAATAACAAGACAGAGCACGCCTTTCCCGGGATGAATTACTTTCGCTATGGGCAACAGATTTGCGTGCCCCCGTCTACCCACCATTGTTCCTTTTCTCCACCCGAGCTCCATCCACCTTTCTGCCTTGGAGTTGTCGTGCATTCCCCACAATACAAAGCCACTCGTCATACTCATTCATTTCACCACACCCGTTCGAGTTTTTACTTGCTTCTGACAGCTACCACCTGGTCTCAACTCCCGGTTGCTTAGACTCTTGTTCGTACAATGGCCGCGCAGAACGCCTCAGCTTTCCAGTTCACGAGCCCCTCAATTGATTACGAATTCTGGAAGGACTTCACGGAGGAAGAATGCACGTGGCTGTACGCGCCGCTGACGTCCTTGGGCCTAGATCACGAGTTCTGGAAGGATTTCAGCGAGGCAGACTGCACATGGCTGTCTGGCCCGCTGGACTTCCCGGCGCCCGAAGACACCTCCATCGATCATGCGTTCTGGGAGGACTACAGCGACGAGGAACAAACGTGGCTGTATGTCCCGAGCGTTCCCTTTTGTGAGCCTGCTGTCACTCTCTCGCTCGGAGCTGCGCCTGCCGCCAGCAGCACTCCGACCAGCACGTGCAGTAGCAGCAACAGCAGCAGCAGCATCAACAGCAACAACAGCGACACGAGCAGCGTCACTAGCAACAGTATCATTCGCAGCAGCAGCAGCGGCAGCAGCAGCGGCAGCAGCAACGATAGCTCCTGCAGCAGCTCCAAGCGTGGCAGCAGTGGCGTGGCGTGCATGAGCAAGAGGCGGCAGCAGCGGCTGCACGCCGTTGCGGTGCGCGTGGGGCGGTTGAACGAGGACGAGCAGAGCACTGCGCGCTCCCCCCGTGCGTCGCTGGGCTTCTCCCCGCTGCGACCCACCAAGCCCGCGAGTCAGCCGCGCAGCAACACGCCCGTGAGTCAGCCGCGCAGTAACACGCCCACGCACGTCATGGGAGCACGTGCTGCTGCCACCACCGCTGCTGTGAAGAGCGCTGATGTCAGCAGCGCTGCTGTTGAGACTGCTTCTGTGAAGAGCGTTGCTGTGAAAAGCGTTCCTGTGAAGGCCGCAGTTTCAGCAGGCAAGGGAACGCGTGCATCTGCAGCTGCACCAGCCAAGGCCGCTGTTAGAAGCGTTTCTGTTAAGCCTGCACCTGCCGCAGCTAAAGCAACGCCAGCCAAGGCCACACGTGTGACGCCGGCAGCTGCAAAGAGTGTTGCTGTTAAGAGCAGCCCAGTGGGGTCGATGGCAACAAAAGCAGCGGGAGAGAAGGTGAGGGAGCAGGGGAATGGGAGGGCAGCACACACAGTGGTGCGCGCAGCAGCAGCAGGGAAGGCGGCGTTGGGAGGGGTGGAGGCAGCAGGAGGGCGAGCAGCAGGTGTGGGGTCGGGTTCAGGTTCAGGGCGTGGTGGCGGTGGTGCGACTCTGATCGCTAAGCCTGGGCAGAGCAGGGCAGCGCACACGGCTGCAGCGGCTAAGGCAGTGCAGGCTGCGCCTCACAGCACTCGTAAACCGGCTGCTCCAGCAGCAGCAGTGGCCGCCACTCGCATTCCCACGCAACGCTCCGCAGCAGTCCAGGGAAGCAGTGGACGGTAGCAGAAGCAACATCATTAGTTAGCAATAGCATCATCAGTACTAGGAATAAGCAGATCGTGAGCCATTATAATGGGATGTGGATGGAGGAAGGAATGGTACGGTGGGTGGGATGAGCATGGCTGGTGGGGGCTGGTGGCAGGCGCATGGCGGGACTTACCCCTTTTTGCACCCTGCTTGCAGGGTGTTGTGGGAGAGATGGCAGGAGAGGTGGAGGCATGTGGTCAGTTGGAGGGTGGTCTGTGGGGAGGCTGGTGGATAAGCTGAGCGTGGCGAGGGATCTGCTCCAACTTCTTTCGTTCGGTTATTTGTGGCTTAGAGTCGTTCTTAGCTTTGTGTTATCATTTATATTGCAAAGGTTTGATGTGGTTTCAGTCCCTTGTACTAGCTCGTGTTGGTTGGAGGTATGGAGGGGTGGGGCCGAGGGATGGGAGTGTGGAATGGTTTGAAGTTGTGCCGTTGCTGTTGTCATCTACCTCTTGCGTTCCCAGTATTGCGCAACGCTCATCTTGAACCATCTTACCGCCATCGTTTCTCATTGCCCGCTCTTCTCACTGTCAGATCCCCATTGCCTTTTTCCCCATGATCTCATTGCCATCATCCCCTGTCATGATGCTCCCATTTTCATGCATTCACTCTCATCATGCAACTGTCATTTCCCCATGGTCATTTTTCGCTAGTCATCATTGCATGGGCTATTCCATTCTCATCCCACCATCAATTCCACTTAATCACCTACTGTTGGTTTGCCAGTGTCATTTTTCCTTTCTATTACTCTTGTTGCCAGTTTTCTGATGTTACTTGATTCCTCGCATTGTCCGTCTCGTTTTGACGGTTTCCCTTCAGTCAGGTTCCATTCTGTCAGGTTCCCCTCAGTCAGGTTTCCACTCAAAACCCCTAGTCAGGTTCCCCAGTCAAATGTTCCAGTCGGCTTCCCCAGTCAGATTTCACAGTCAGATTCTTCAGTTGTTTCTCCAGTTAGGTTCCCAAGTCAAGTTCCCAGTCAGGTTCCCCATGGTCATGATCCCCACTGTCCTTGTCAACGGGAGTTGGGTATTGGCCCCGTCCTCGCTTGGGCGGAGCCGACTTCGTGGTCGGGTGTAGGGTGCAGCCGACCTGCAGCAGTGGGCGAGTTGGTCGACGAGGTTGGTCGACCTGCACGGGGAGCCACTGCATGAGCGCCGACTTCAGGAGGGCGCCACCTTTGGCTGGTCGACCTGGGAAGTCGACCAACCCCTTCTGGTCGACCTGGGACGTCGACCAGACCTTCTGGTCGACCTGGGAAGTCGACCAGACCTTCTGGTCGACCTGGGAAGTCGATCAGGCCTTCTGGTCGACCTGGGAAGTCGACCAGGTCTTGTGGTCGACCAGGAGTGACGTCGACCTAGAGCTGGTCGACCAGGGAGTAGTGGTCGACCTGGGAGGTCGACAGGCACATACCGGAGGCAGTGGTCGACCTGGTGAGGTCGACTGGAAGTGGTCGTCGACTTGGGTGGTCGACGGGCACGCACTGGAGCCTCTGGTCGACCTGGTTGCCCGGTCGACCAGGTTACCTGGGTGACGAGGTGCTGCGAAGGCTTGCGATGGTCGCCCAGGTGGTTTTGGCGAGGACGACCTCGGTGATGGTATCCCGAGGTCGACGTGGTGCATCAGAAGCAGTCGTCAGCACGAAGTTGATGTGGTGTGTGCGCTGTGCAGGTGACGAGGCACTGCACGCCAATCATCTGCGAGCACCTGCGAAGTAGGTGCGCTGCTGTCCTGCGGGAGCAATGCTGGCATGCTGTCGACTTGCGCTGTTGTCACGCCGTCTCCCTGCAGCGTTGGCAAGCCGCGTCTCTGCACTGTTGGAGCGCGGTCGACCAAGTCGTGCTGGCACACGGTCGACCGTGCTGCGCTGGCAGTCGACCTGCTTGCATCCTAGCTCTGATGTAGTCTTGTCTTGCCAACATTATTGTATCATTGTTGTCAACTTTCTCTAGTGAAACTCTTGCCGAATTGCCTTGTGAACTAGCAAGCAGTGTGTGCACTAGGAAAACGACTAAGGAACAGAGAACGCAGAGATCATACAAGCACACGTGCCTAGCCCGTAGTCTAGCTCCCGTTACTAGAGTTATCTCCGCATGGTGCGGTGAGCGTGGACGGCACAACGACTTACCTTTCAGTCTAGTCGACTTAGTGGCACCTTACCTAAGTTGTTCGTAGGCCGGCAGCTGTGCGGTAGTCACCATGGTAGGCGTCGTAGGTGACACGGGGGTGGTGGACACCCTGGAGGCACGGCTGGAAAACGCGAGGAGGAAGCACGAGGCCAACGAGTATGGCGACCTGCCGTGGGCGGTCGTCGAGGCTGGCATCCGTTCCTTGTGGGCGACGGAGCACCCTTCTCGGCCTGCTTCTCCTCGACCGGTGAACACCGAGGGCGGCGTCGACGTGGGCGTCAACGCCGGGGGCGACCAAGTCGGCAGCAGTGCGGGAGGCACGTCGAGGCAGCGTGGTGTGATTCACGCCGACGAAGTCGGCGGCGTTCAAGGGCGGAATTGCGCCGAGCTACGGCTACTTCAAGTTCACGCCGGATAGGATCTCGGTGACTCCCGAGATCCGACATACTCACCTGGAAGGAGGCCATCGAGCCCCAGCTGGAGATGGCCGGGCTGATCAGCTTCGCTCGAGGTACCGTGGCGACGCCGAGCGACCCCGACTTGCGAGCTGAGTTCCGCGCTGTGCAGCTGTTGACCTTCACGGTCATCTCACGGTGCTGCTCGCCGGGCGTGCAAATCGCCTTGAAGTGGTGCCGGGAGTACCTCGACGCCGGCCACCAGGCGTGGCACTTCATTGAGTCGACCTACCAAGTCACCGACGACTTGTTCATCGCCCAACTGGAGGGGCAGCTGACACATCTGCATATGGGCGACCAGGAGACGGCGACCGACTACTGCAACCGGGCCCGGCGAATTCTCGCCACCATCAGGATGGCCGGTGCGGAGTACTCGACGGCGTCGTACATCACCCATGTTATGCAGGGACTCCCGAGCAGCTACAACCTGCTGAAATGGCTGTCCATGGCGCCGAGCACGCGGGCGACGCTCAACGAGGACACGTTGACCTCGTACATCCTGCAGGACGAGGCGATGCAGGAGGTCGAGCGGTCACAAGAGCTCTTGGCGCAGGTGAACTACGTCGCCCCGGCGAAGCAAGGCGGTCGACCAGGGCAGCGTGGACAGTCTGGTGGCGGTGGTAGCAGTGGCTCGAAGTCGGCCAAGGAGGTCGACAAGAAGAAGTCGACCAAGGACAGTGGCCGGGGAGGAGGAAGTCGACGTCGGGAGTGCTGGCTGTGCGGCGACCCCGACCACCTCTCCTTCGAGTGCCCCGACCGCAGTGACTCGGACGACGACGACAAGGGAGGCCGCGGGAGGTCTGGCAGTCGTCGGCCCCGTCGAGGAGGAAGTCAGCCGCGCAAGGAGAAGCAGTCGACCAAGCCGTCGACCTCGGCGAAGGACGCCGACTCCTCTGCTAGCGGCAAGGGGAGCAACGACAAGTCGGCGTCGTGCTCTCTGGTCGGCGTCGTGGAGCCGACCGTCTCACTAGCGCCGGAGGCTGGTGAGGATTTCCAGGCGATGGCAGCAGCAGTGCAGGCGAACCCGGCGGTGGTCTTGCTGGACAGCGGCTGCTCCCACCACCTGATGGGGACCAAGGACGCCTTCGTCGACCTGGGGCCGAGCGGCGACTTGAAGCACGTGCGTGGCTTCAATGGGGCGCTGCAAGACGTCCAAGGCCGGGGCACGGTCGCCTTGCAAGGCGAGGCCGGGAAGCAGGTTCTCATCCCCGACGTGCTGTATGTCCCGGGTGTGCGGGCCAACCTGTTGTCGTCCGGCCAGCTGAAGGAGCATGGCGTGAAGTTTCAGGAGGACGGCGATGGTGTGCTGCTCATCTCGGCAGCGGGAGAGGTGCTTGGTCGGGCGACGTACTCCGGGCGAGTCCTCTGCACCGACCTGCGTCCCTGCTCAACGAGGTCGACGTCGCCCACGCCGGAGGTTGTGGCCCTGCGGGCGATCGTCTCCAAGACGAAGTCGACGCCAGACAGGATGCATGCTCGGCTTGCGCACGTCGGCATGGACACCATCAGGAGCTCGGCGAAGAACGAGGTCGCCATTGGGCTGGACCTCAAGTCGGCGACGGGCGCCGACCCACCGTGTGTCTCGTGCGTCGGCGGGAAGCTGGCGCGGCACACCTTCCCCGACCAAGGCTCCGACGCCGCCGACGTGCTAGCCGTCGTCCACATCGACTTGTGTGGGCCGTTCCGCGTGGCTGCCAAGGACGGTAGCCTGTACTTCTTGCTGCTGAAGGACCGCAAGACCCACTTCGTATGGGCGAGGCCAGTCGCCAAGAAGTCGGACGTGCTGCTGGAGTTCCAGAAGTGGCTGGTGCTGGTGGAGAGGCAGACGAAGAAGTCGGTGCTGATGCTGCGCTCGGACCGAGGTGGGGAGTTCCTCGGGAAGGCCTTCACCGCCTTCGTGGACGGCAAGGGGATCGTCCACGACCTAACCTGCCCCTACACCCCGCAGCAGAACGGCATGGCGGAGAGGGAGATGCGGACGGTGGTGGAGTCGGTGAGGACGATGCTGCTGCACATGGGCGTGCAGCACCACTGGTGGCACCTCGCTCTGCGGCAGGCCGTCTGGATCCGCAACTGCTTGGAGCGGTTGGCGACGCCGGGGATGACGCCATCCCAGCTGCTGACCCGGACGAAGCCCGACTTGTCACTGGCGCGAGTGTGGGGCTGCATGGCGCAGTTCCTCGTCCCCGAGCAGCAGCGTGGTGGGAAGCTGCAGCCGAAAGCCAAATGGGGCCTCCACCTTGGCGTGTCGGAGGCAAGCAAGGGCTGGGAGCTCCTCGACATTGCTGCCAACCGGGTGGTCACCACGTCGGACGTGGTGTTCTACGAGGACCTGTCGCTGGAGGAGTGGAAGTCGGAGCATGGGCCGACGTCTGGGCGGACGCTGGTGGCC